ACCTGTTTCCTTGAGCCTCAGTTTTCCTGTCTGTAAACAAGGTACAGCAGTCTCCTGTGCCTATGTTCCTGGGGTTTTTAGGAGACCGTTGACCATTATCACATTATTGGTAGTACACATCCAGTGGCTGCAGGAGTTCTTGACTGTGCTGTCTATATCTCATCTAAGAGACAGCCGCGCCTCCTCTTCCCGGTGTTCCCTGATCATTGGGGAAGGGGTGTGAGAAAGGTTGACAGGGACACCCTATATAGGGCGAAGCCACTGGTGTCAGCACTAACCCATTAGGAGTCTGCAGTAACGGCTGCCCGCTGCTGAGAGAAGCCACGCTGGCCAAGGGTAAGAACAGCACTGGTCTATGGGTACAGACATGAGTGTCCTGTAGCAAAACAACAGTAGGAAGGTCCTCACGAGGCCCGTGACTGTCCTAACCATGGGGTTTTGACCCCATCAGGTTTGTGGTACCAGGCCTGGGTTCCTGTATAGTCGATCTCGAATGCAAAAGAGGTTGGTGATCTCCATAACCTTCGTGCTATTATTGCACGAGTGGGCGTATCGTGGGTGATAGGTTGGTATCGTAGCATGGAGGATTAGGTGCTGGCTAAGATGACTGATATGTTTTCTCCCTCCACTGGCCTGCATGGCTTCTGACAGCACTGAAAGGTAGTCAACGCTGAGGAAGCTTTTGGGTTGTTCAGTTGGATGACTGTGTCATAACACCCAAAGTATGTCTTCTGCAGTAGAATCTTACCATCTCATTTTGGTGACCTCTGGGACCTCCCTGACCAATAAGTTGCCCCTGCCCCTTGGACTGTTAAGTTGCCAAGAGGTCTCACTTCTTCTATGGGCTATCTGAGGGACAGGAAAGATAAGCAAGCTGACCTGAGGCTTACATTCAGGAAGAGGTAAGCCTGGGATTTGAACCCCAGGGCATCTGAATCCAAAGCGTATTTCTGCCACTGCAAACCAGCAGCAGTAGAAAGCTTAGAACACCTTGGGAGCTGACTCCACAGTTAGCATTGGCAGGTGCCCACTGCACAGATCCTTTGGCGGGGCTATCCTGTGTCTACCCAGCTGGCTGCCCCCTTTGGGCTGCTGCTCTGGGCATGCCCACATGGGACTCTGCAGAGCCATGTGCCCATTACATCAGGCCCTATCTTTTCCCTGCCAGCTTGAGGATGTCTTATCAGAGGAGGGACAGTGGGTGCCAGTGCAAGAGGACTGGAAGGAAGGGGACATTCTGCAGTGTCACATAGCTAGTTTGAGTTGATGTAAATGCCTGCCACATAGCATTTGCCTCTGTGAGGACCATAGAAGTTCCCACAGGCCTGTAACACAGATCCCATGTGTTCAGTGTCCTGGGGTGGCCCTCCCTCTGACGGTCAGAGAACATGACCGTGCTCACTGAGTACTCCTGGGGCCCTCTCAGAATGACAGCCTTAACTAAATGCCAGCATAATACTGCTGGGGCAGCTTGGCGCTTCCAGCCTGGACAGAAGTGGGCTGGGACACAAGGCCGTTCTGCTAGGCAGTGATTAGCGTGTATCTGCTAATCACCAGCTTGGCCTTGTCTGGATGACAAGAGGCCTCTGCTCTTGACCCTTAATAGTCCAAGGGGTGGGGACATGGTTCCCAGAAGTCACTGGTCATGCAGGCTTGCCTACACCAGTGTGACATTGGGAGACAGAGTTGGGGGGTGTTGCACAAGATGCCAGGTGGGCTTCTGTGTGAAGAGTGGTCCAGCTGAACCTCAGGAGTAGAAAGGTTGAAGATGCTCTTGACGCTACCTTGTCTGAGCCACTCCATGACTGGGTGCCCAGTGACTATGACCTGGCTCCTGTGGCTATGACGGAATCATGGCAGAAGTAGAAGGTTTCTGAGAGCCTTCTGAAGAGGTCAGGAGCCCCAGGTCACAGGTAGCGGAGGTGCAGGTCATCAAGGCCCGGGATCCACTTCCCAGCAGGCACTAGTTGTGGTGTGCTGGGTCAGCCCTGGTACTCCTGCGCTGCTTTGTGGAAACCCTGGTGTCTAACTCTACATCCTGACCAAAGAGGTTGCTTTCCAAACTGTTCTCAAATAAAGGTTCTAGAATCTGTGTGTGACAGTGTGTGCAGACACAGATGTGTCAGGGTGCAGTGCCCATGTGCAGGTCAGGAATCAGGGTAGTCTGTCCTCTCTGTCCACCTTTACATGGGTTTCAGGGACTGAAGTCATGCCAGTAGACTTAAGGAGAGGTACTCATCCACTGAGCTGTTTCGCAGCCCCTCCTAGACTCTTACTGCCAGGAGATGCCCTTTGTTTATAGTTGAGGATGAGATGCTTGGTGAGCGTAGTAAGACTTCCTCTAGAGTTGGGAGACATGCTAAGATAATGACGCATGTCCAGAAGCCACTTGAGATCTGAATGGAGGGCCCAGGGCTGTAGGAAGTAAGATAGGAGGTTGGGGGGGGGGGGAGGCTGGGAAAGCACCAGTGTGTAGGGGCATCAGTTCGTAGCCCTCTCAGGGACCCAGTAATGTCTGCAGCTCAAAGCTGCCAATCCAGGTACCTGGGTAACAGTGAGCAGTTACCACACAGAGTGAGTGGGGTGCTTTGAGCCCCAGATCTGGTACTTGGTCACTGTACACATGACTCAAGTAGCCAGTTTCCTCGTTTGGAGGATAGGGTGCTGGCAGTTGGTGCAGGGATTCATGAAAAGCCAGAGTTGAGCCCCTGATTTAGTCTCAGCTCTGCCAGAACCTTGTTTTGTGGCTGTCACTCTTGGCTGGTTTATAGATGGTTTAGGACCATCTGGGGAGGGCAGGGTAAGAACCACTCAAAATATAAGAACTGAGGAGGTACATCCTGTGAACTTCTACACAGTATAAGTACTGCGCCCCCACCCCTTCTCCAAATGTGTGACCGTAAGAAAGATGAGCTGGTTGTCCTGAAGACATTCCTCTCTGGATGTTTCAAGCAGAACATGCATAAAGAACACCATCTTAGAAAGCTGTGGGAGGGCAGGGTGTGTGTGTACCCCTCAGGGTTCAGAGTGGGACAGGGTTGGAGGGGTCTTGGTGTCACTTCCCAGTCTGTGAGTCTGGGTGTGGCTGAGGTCCGAGAGAAGTCAAGGTGTGGCCTGTGATGTGGAGGCCCGATGGTCCTCAGTCCCAGCAGCCTGCTGGCAAGGCTGTGATAGAGGCATCTCAGATGACATTTTTCGGTCAGGAAAGCATGTGCTTGGCTCTCTGTGGGATGGTCATGTGGACCTGAAAGGGACACATGGATGTGAGCGGGGCACACATAGACATGCGTGATTATGTCTGTGAGCATCTCTTGTCTGAAGGGGCAGTATCAGGGATCTCTTTCAGGGGTGCATACTCCTCAGAGTTGTGCTACCTTTCTTTTGGTCTTTTGAGATGGTGTCACTGTGTAACCTTGGCTGCTTTGGAACTCAGAGAACTGCCTGCCTCTCTCTATCTCCTGATTGCTAATAGAGGCATGGACCACTCTTCCAACTGCAGCTATTGTGTCTTCTCTAGGCTGTAGTAGGAGTTCCTGGGACTCTGGCAGGCAAGGACTTTAGGAGGACTTGAGGGTTAGCTGTCAGACTTGGGAGTCTGACAGCTGAAACATAGAGGCCCAGACCCTGGTCCCCAGATGCAAAGTCTTAAAACCAGAGGCTGGCAACCCCTATACCCCCAGTTCCCAGGTCATAGCAGGCCCCTCCCCTCCCAGTTGGGAAGACTGAAGGTTTGGGCTCTGCCAACCCTAAGTGAATCTACAGGATAGCCAGGACTTCAGCACTGTGGCAAAACCAGTTAGAAGCCGAAGGGTCCTGGGTTCCTATCCTACCCCTGACCCTTGTCCCATAACCTTAGTTAAACATTGGCTCAATATTCTCCCCTGTAGAATGGGAACCCACCTCATACTTTAAGCATGGAGATTGGGCTGGAGAAATGGCTCAGAGGTTAAGAGCACTGACTGCTCTTCCAGAGGTCCTGAGTTCAATTCCCAGCAACCACATGGTGGCTCACAACCATCTGTAATGGGATCTGATGCCCTCTTCTGGTGTGTCTGAAGACAGTGACAGTGTACCCACATACATGAAATAAGTAAATAAATCCTTAAAAAAAATAAAAAAAAAAAGCATGGAGATTGAGGTGAGTGTCTCAGTGTGCCAGGCACTGTGCTTTCCACAAGTCTCCTCATCCAGTCTCCAGGCCCATCCTCTAAAGTGGAACTGTGTCCAAACCACATAGGACCAGAGAGGTAAAGGTACTTGGCCCAAGTCACTCAGTGGGAAAGAGCCAGGCAATCATTAGGGGCATTAGATCAAGGGCAGCCATGAGAGTTCAGAGACATGCGTGACTTGGGTCACCCAGGCAGGAAAGCGTTAAGTCCAAGAGGAGGACAGATGTAACTATTCGCCAGTCTCTTGTGGCCTGGCGCAGCTTTCTCACTACCAGCTAGCC